CCAAATGCCCATATAGAATCAGAAAACATTGAGTTGCAGAGGCCTGAGAATGGGACTAGTCTCGGAGTTGGATCTTGACTTCCCATGGCGTAGTTCTGCCAGCCACACCAGTGCCAATGGCCATGGCCATTTTCTGTTTCCTCTCTTTCTCTTCCTTTTCTTTCCTATGGACTCATCTCACTCTTTTCCCTTATGGTGATCGCTTGGTGTTGAACAAGATGACATGCATGGTGCTCCCATGTGGCACTCGGAGCTGAACACACTGTCCCAGCATGGGTGTCTGCAACCTTTTCCCCTTCCTGACTCTCGTCCCCTAAGGTATGTGTGCAGGGACATGTCCTCCCTTCCTCCTTCCCTGAACCATCCTTCTCAGGCTCGTTTCCTTCTAGACATGGAGGAGGAGGAGGCAGACAGAAATTAGGGAATTGTTCCTCTCTCACCTTAGTTTCCTGGTCTCTAAAATGGAGCAAGAGTCTCAGAAAGGAAATGTGGGTATTTGTGGTGTGTGTGTGTGTGTGTGTGTGTGTGTGTGTGTGTGTATGACATCTCCCAGAAGCTCTTGGGGAGTAGAGAGGACAGTTACTATGCATCTGATGGAAGATGTCCTGGGACCACTGCAGGTGCTGTTAGGATGGTCAACAGGATGGGCTGAGAGCTTCCCAGAGGTTTTGGGGATGGGCAGCCCCAAGCTCCACTCCTGTAAAATCGAGACACCTGAAGAGGCTGGGGGAGGGAGTGTTCTGAGTGAAGGGTCTTTGTCTTTACAGGGAAATGCATGCTAGTTGCTAAGGAACTAGATGTCTTTCCTGATCCAAGCTCCCAGTGTTTTGCTTAGCTTGGGAGGGGGTTGCTAGGCTGGGCTTGAGTCTCCCTTGGAAGATGGTCCTTTCCCTAGGGCTGCTGAGGCTCTGATGGGTCTTGCAGGGAGGACTCTCACCTGGGAGAGGTGGTTCTCTACCTTAAGCCTCACTGCTTGCTCCAGTCGAGCTGGTGAGAACAGGTGAGGAGGAGGCAGGGAAGGAGGAGAATCCGTGCACTTACTGAACAGTCTGCATGCCAGGCATTGTGCTCAGCAGCTGCCATGCTAGCTCATCTTACTGTTGTGACCTGTCCTGAGTGGAAGGGGTTCATTTTCATTTTTGCATTATACTTCTGCACTTGAAACACAAGTCCGAAACAGTTAAGTTGTCCAAGGTCACTGTGTTGTCAGGTAGTAGAAATTCTGTATAAGTTTAAGACTTTATGTGAATTTAAGAAATCATATGCTTTTAAAAAATATATCACCTAATGTACATATGAGGCTTGCTTCTTATTGCATGACTATCACCACCATCACCACCACCACCATCACCATCACCACCACGACCACCACCATCACCAGCACCAGCACCAGCACCATCACCATCACCACCATGACCACTTAACACCACCGCGACCACTTATCACCACCATTACCATCACCACCACCACCACCACGACCACCACCATCACTACCACCACCACCACCATGATCACTTAACACCACTGTGATCACTTATCACCACCATCACTACCACCATCACCACCACCATCACCAGCACCATCACCACCATGACCACTTAACACCACCGTGACCACTTATCACCACCATCAACATGACCACTCATTACCACCATGATCACTTATCACCATCACCACCATCACTACCATTACTAGTGCTACCACCATCACCATCATCACCACTACCATCACTACCAGTACTATTGTCACTATTATCATCACCACCATCACCACCTCCACCACTATCACCATCACCACCATTACCATCACCATTGGAGTCATCACCCCATCATCACCATCACCTGGTGAACACCTGAGTCTTTCTAGGTAGCTTTCCCAACTCTTTTCTTTCCCTAAGAGAACTTATCACCCAGGTGTGGTCAGGAGGGAGAGGGGTGATTCAGTGGGCTGAGGCTGTTAAATAGGTGGTGACCATGGGCAGGTGGAGATCGTGATGTCCCTGAGCTGGGCAAGGCTGTTGTTGTCTTGGCTATTCAGAAGTCCTAGCTGTCCCCACAATCCTACCTGGTCTATGATGGGTAAAGCTTCAAACTCTTCTGAAACTTCCAGCCTTTCCTCTTTGACCCACTCCCGCTCTTATTTTATATTACCAGAGAATAAGAATAAAGTGCTATTTACCTCTAAATACGATTGTAAGAGGGCTTAGTTCCAGATTCCATTACTGCTATTTAAGGAACAGGGAGTAGGCCCCTTAACATAAGGGAATCTGGTTCCTCATCTAGAAAATGAGAACACCACCACCTACATTATTAGGCTCTTGAGACAACTGAATGAGAGAAGGTGTTGAAGGCCCAGGTAGGCTGTGAAGCGGGGTGAGAGTACATTGAATGAGACACTGCACGCAGAGCGTTCAGCACAGTGCCTGGTATGCAGAAGGTGCTTGAATGGTATCTTTAGTGATGAGGGCAATGTCAGTCCTCTGTAACCCTGAAAAGGGCTCACCACTGCTCCCTTACATCTTTCTTTATGGTTTCATTAGGGACCTCAAGCAATTTGCATGTCCATCTTGTTTTCACCTGGAGGATGCAGTGGAAAGAAAAGTAGTGAGAGGCTCCAAGAGCCCTGGCTAAAGCTCTCTCAAGGGTGCTCCCCACCCCCTGTGGCTTCCAGGTCTCCTCCGTTGGCCCTGGGCCCTCCTTCTCTGTGGTTTCCAGGGACAGCCTGGTAGGGCTGGCTTCAGCCTAGAATCTGGGCTGGCTGTGTTCTCTTTTCATATTTTGGGGCCAGGAGGGTAAGGGGGGGGTCTCTCTTGCCCCTGAACCCAGATCTCAGAACACCAGGGCAAAGTAAGGAGGGGAAGAAAGAGAGGAAAGCAAGCAAGCTGATAATTTCCTCGAAGGATAAACATCCGACTTTTTTTCCTTACCCAAAATAAACAGGCTAGCCACAAGGAATTAAAAGCAGAAGAGGGGAGGATGTGTCTCGATTTGGGGCTGCTTTAGCAAGCTGACCTTCTGTTTATCCTGGCCCTGGGCACCAACCGGAGCTGCCAATTATACTCTGTGCCCAGTGGGGTGAGGGCTGCAGGAGAAGGTCCCACGGTGTATGGGACCTGGAGAGTCCATTCTGAGGCTGCCTTCCATGACGCTGCACATGGGCACTTCCTTTGGCTCCTTATTTTAGCTCTGTTTGTAGGCTTGCCTGGTAATGTGGATGGGAATGGGAAAGGGTTTTTTTTGCCCTGGTTTGGCATTGGATGTCGTTCTAAAGCACAGGACTCTGCTATCTGCTGCCCACAACCTGGGCATGGAGGAGAATCTATCAATAGGAGAGGCATCGTCCAGTTCCTTCCCTAGTCACCAACTTAATCTCCCACCCTGTTGCCTTCTTCAGTTGCCACTTCAGGAACCTGCAAATAGTGGACAGTGTGCTCGGCTGGGTCCAGGCCAGCCAGGGCCCCCTACCTTGCAGCCCCCATGGCCATACCTCTAAGAAGGTAATAACTCTTAGTCCAGCTCAACCTGCTCTTTTCATCTGATGACCTCAAAGTGCTTTGCACACATGAGTCGCCAATGCTGCTGCACCCTGGACAAGAAGAGGGGCTTATTAAGTCTTGGCAGGAAATTGAGCTGAAGGCCTGTTTAGAGGGGTGAGTTGATGGGCCATGGTTTAAGCAATGCAAGAAGCTAGCAGAGGGGTGTCCAGGGGGTCCGTGGGCAAGAAAGTCAAGAGGTATACAGCTCAGCCCCAGGGCTGCAGAAGCTTCCTTCCTCTCCTTGTAGATACCAAGAAGTTTCCTCATAGCTGTCAAAGAGCACACATCTGATGGTGTTACCTGTCAGCCTCCAATCTATTTATCATCCAGTGACGTCTCATCCAGTGATGTCTTGGTACATCCCACAGGTTAGCATGGCCACAAGGCCTGGCATGGCCTGGCTTTTGCCCACCCATTCATCCCTTTTCTTCCATGTCTATTCCATTTCAGCCACACGGTTGGCCCCCATCATTTCCTGGAAGATGCCACGCATGCGCCTGTCTGCTGCAGCAGCTTGGAGGAGCTCAGAGTTGCTCTCTGTCCTCTGAACTCACCAAGTTAACCCTACTTCACCTTCCAGCCCAGAAATTAAACACATTTCTCCTGAGAGGTCTTGCCTGAGAAGCCAGGATTCCTATCCATCCTCACAGCGCAGATCACACTTTGTTATGATCTTCCTGTGTCTATCTGAAGCCCTTACCCCAGATTCCACAAGGCCTGGCTCACCTTTGGACTCCAGGCCTAGTACAGAACAGGTGTCCACAATGTTTGCTCAATGAATGCTAATAAATGTTGGGGTTGGAATGTGCATAGTGGTAAAGCAGTGTCCCTTGCAGCTTCTTCTCATCTCAGGGTCACTGCTGAGAAAGCTGAGTTTCAGAGAGGATGAGCCATTTGCTTGAGAACTCAGTTTAGGCTTAGGGATCTCCACTTCCTGTGCATCTATCCCCTAGGTGCACCCACTTTGAATTACAGGAAAGTCCCTCGCTGATGTTGGCTGATTTTCCCTTGCTGATGATTCCTTCCCTTCCTTCCTTCCTTGCTTGCTTGCTTCCTTGCTTCCTTCCTTCCTTCCTTCTTTCTTTCCTTCCTTCCTTCCTTCCTTCCTTCCTTCCTTCCTTCCTTCCTTCCTTCCTTCCTTTCTCCCTCCTTCCCTTCCTCCCTCCCTCCCTCCTTTCCTTCTTCCCTCCTTTCCTCCCTCCTGCCCTTCTTTCCTTCTCTCTTTTCTTTATCGTTCTTTTTGTTTTTCATTACTGTAGATTAAACTCAGGGTCTTCCCATGAGCTACACCCTTATCCTTTTTTTTTTTTTTTTAATTCTAAAAATGGGTCCAGTGTGAGCTTGAACTTGCAGTTCTCCTACTGCAGCCTCCCAGCAGGCCTGGATTACAGCCATGCTCTACTATGCCTAGCTTCCTAGGCAGGTTTTCCAAAGAAGACAGGTTAAAAAGCAAAACAACAAGAACTGGATGACTTCTTATTTTTATTTTTTAGTTTACATGAGAAGGGATCCATACTGGGGAAGGTGCTGTCTCCATACTGTGGTGGACACACACCTGGAAGGTGAAGCCTGTGGCCCAGTGGGCCCTGCTCTCTGGGTTTGTCCTTGGCCTATCTGCCACCTTCCTTGGAAGCTTGCAGTGTTGCTGAGTCCTGGTAGTTCAGCATCATGAACTGGGTGCTTGCTTCAGGTTCGTTCAGGTGGAAGCGGTTCAAAAATTTGTCCATTTCCCAAGAGCCTGGAAGGACAGACAGATGACAGCAAAGGAGTCAGAGAGAACCACAGACCTAAGAGCTGGCAGGGACCTTGGCCCCCTCTGGCTGTGGGTGCACAGTGCCTGGGGAGCCTTCTGGCCCTTGCAGCCCCTGTATATGTTAGTAGGGTCCCTGAGAAGTGGCACCAGTTACCTACTTGCCAGGACTGTGGGAACAAAGGCCAACCTGAGTCAAGGCCACCTTGTGTCTCCTCCCTGGGCCCTATCGGTAACGTGCTATGGCCTCCTCACCCTCTGCAGAAGGGAAATAGCAATCCATCAGGAGCTTCCCTGACCTCACCCCACCCCCACCTACCTGGAGATCTCCTGACTGCCTCCCCCATGATGGAGGTTTCAACATTGCTTCCCACCACACCAGGTCACCCTCATTGCTGGGGCTGAACCTAGCTGCTCCCCAGAGCCCCGGCCACCTCCTGAACCAGGCTCCTTCTCCATGGTAGAAATAGACAGGTAGTGCTTAGGTCCTGGAGGAGCAAGAAGAACAGGAGAGGGGCTGGAGAGATGGCTCAGTGGTCTAAAGTACCTACTTGGAACAAGCTTGGCAAAGCACAGGGACCACGGTTCAATCCCCCAGCACCACATGCCAGCCAGCCCCGCCCCCTGGTGGGCTGAGCTGGCCACACACACACACACACACACACACACACACAAAACTAAAAAAAAAATGTAATAAATAAAAAATAAAAGAAATATTAAAAAAAAAGAAGAAGAACAGGAGACCCACACCCACTCTGGCACTTAGAGAAGCCCAGTTCCTGCCCAGGTTGGAGGGAACCCTCCTGAGGGGACAGTGCAATGGGGGATGCATCTTCTGGAGAAAGTGTGAACAGGCCTTATAGTGGGGCAAGAAGGGCACAGGCCTGGGTACTTCCGAGAGGCCGAGGGACATGATCAGAGGCAAAGTCCCATTCTTGTTTCCCAAACCCTGAGCTCAGGCACCTGGGGCAGACGGTTGCCAGGAAAACACAGGAAGCCCAGGTAAGTCTGGCTCTCAGATAAACAGCAAATGATTTGTTGCCTTTGTTCATCCATTAAACGGAGCATACCTATACTGAATGATTTTTCATTGTTTATCCAGAACCTAAACTGAGCTGGGATTCAGATGCATCCTGTAGTTTTTGTTCTTTAGGAGCTCTCGTGTTGCTTGGTGGGTAAATCTGAAGCGTTCCCTAGAGGTGCTTGGCCTTTCCTGGAGCACAGCTAGGCAGCGGCTGTTGTGCTGTGGGCTGTGAGACAGTCATTCTGATACTCAGGCAGAGGACTGAGGGCTGCCTGCCTGCAGCTCTCCCTCGACACTGCCTGAGAGTCGCAGACCACCCATTCTCCACCTGTTGGCTCTGTCTGCACCCTCACCCTCTTCCTAACGTCAAGGAGAGCAAGTCCACCCAAGGGTGCTTCTCCTCCCTCCCATTGGTATTTCAAAAATATTCTTAAGGACAGGACAATTTTGAATCCTACCCCCCCCACCCAATAGTAATAATGAGAACAAGAATGATGCTGCCACAAAACATAACACGCCTCTGTGCCCCTGTGTGCCGCTTGCACCACGAACAATATTTCCCTCAGTTCTCACTGCAGTCCTACTGTAGAGGACTGTGAAGACCCCTCACTTACAGATGAGAGGCTGGGCCCAGAATGGGGGAGGAAGTGTCCCAGGGCAGCTGGCCCCAACCTTTTTGGCACCAGGGTCCAGTTTCCTAGAAGAGATCTTTTCCACAGATGGTGGGGTGGGTGGGAGTGGCTATGGAACCGTGCAAAGGAGCGGCAACCTGGATCCCTTGTACGCGCCGGTGCTGTTGGCAGGAGAGTTCTCCTCCCAGGAGAAGCTAATGTTCCATCTAACAGGAGGTGGTAGCTGGAGTGATGTGGAGGTGCTATAAATACAGACGCGTTGCTCGCTGACCCAACGCTCTCCTCCTCCTCCTCCTCCTCCTCCTCCTCCTCCTGTGTGGCGTGGTTCCTGTCAGGCCGTGATCTAGCACCCAGACAACCTGGGTGACAGGGACCTGGCAAGTCCATTCCAGCTTCCCTCCATCCTGTCTGCCTCAGCAACGGGATGCTCGGCCTGCCTCATGGGCTGGAGACCGAGGGCTGCACGACCGTCTGGAGGGGTGGACAAGGTGCCAAGAACTTGTGAACTAGGCTGTTGGCCGGGGACTGAGTGCACCGGGCACTTCCACAGTGCAAATGTGTGTCACTCCAGTGCCCTTTCACAGGCCCTGTGCCTGGCTGGAGCCTCTGCATCCTTGGGGCTTGGCTGGCTAGAAAGGAATTTTGGTATCAAGACCCTGGGAAAACGTGGGCATGTGTGTGTCTGCATACCAGCATACCTAATGTGCACGTGTGCACGTGCGTCCATGAGTGTGCACACTAGCATATATGCACATGCATGCATGTCTACTTGTGTGTGCATGCCAGGGAAAGGGTTCACAGGTGAATTGGTGGGTGGCAAGCACGAGGGGCCAGGGGGGCCTTCCCCACGCTATAGGGCAGGAAGGAACCTGGGTGGCAAGGAAGGAATTGAAACCCATCACGAGATTAGGCAAACTGGTGAAAGAAATCCCCTTGCACCCCTTGCAGCAGAGCTGGCCTCCCCTGGCTCAGGAGCCACCTCTTGCATGCTCAGAGTATCTCTGGGGTCTCACGCTCCTTCCCAGTCTCGCTTCCGACAGCTCTGTCGTTCTTGGGCTCTGCTAGCAGCTGTGCCTTACACCGAGGCCCTGAGCTGGCCGCCTCCCCTGGCTCGCCTGGACTCCTCACCCCCCACCCACTTTCCTGCCACAAAGGGTGAGAGGAACTGACCCCTAACAAGCTCTAGAAGGGAGAGCGGTGAGTCAGGCCCACAGGGCTGCGTGGGGAGAGATGGGAGCTGTGGCTTCTGTGGTCGCCGCTCAGAGGAAAGCCCCTTCCTGTATGGTATGCATGTCCCTGAGTGCCAGGAGGCTGCTGCCATGCAGGAAGAGGGTAGGGCTGTGCCTGCTGGGGCCACTGCACCAGGAGTCAGGCCGGGCTCTTCCTGGGCAGGACAGGGCCATGAGTGTCTACTGTGTGTCTCTTGAGCTGCCCAGAGATGAGAATACGGGGGCCTGGGATCCTTGGGGCAGGGCTGTCACATAGGGCCTGCGGAGCCATCCCAGGACAATCCCAGGAGTGATATCCCATCCTGCAGTGGGGCCATCCCCTCACTTGCAGGTCACTGCTGATCGCCAAGAGCTTTGAAGATGCTGGAGTAGGAGGAGGCCTCGGGGAGAGGACATCTTACCTAGAGCCTGGGGGGGTCTCTGAGCTACTGCTTGTGCCTCGGCTGCCAGACACAGGAGACACCCCTGTCCTCAGTGGCTGAGAGGGGAGCTCACTCTCTGGGCTGTAGTCCCGGGGACTGCCACAGTAGGGAGGTTTGCACTGGGCCCTGGGCCAGATCCTGACAGTCGCTTTCTCCACCCCTAGGTCCTGTCACGTGCTCCTGACCAGCTCCTTTGAGGCCTTTAGGGCTAAGCCAGACTCCAAGGGACTGAGAAGTGGCACTCCACCCACCCACCCATCCCCAGCCCCTTGCAAACCTTGGAGGATGGGTGGATGGCTCTTGAGCTAGAATATGTGCTCTGAGCCTCAGAGCCCGGAGCAAGGTCCTTCCATGTCACACCAGCAGCTGCCTCCTGTGGCCTCTGCCACATATGGGGAGCAGCCTGTTGCCTGATTTACACTTACTTCTGTGCTCCATGAGTTTCTCTTCTCTCCTTTCCCTTTCTTTTCCTGTTTCTCTGTCTCTGCCTCTCTGTCTCTGTCTCTGTCTCTGTCTCTGTCTGTCTGTCTGTCTGTCTGTCTGTCTGTCTGTCTGTCTGTCTTTTTCCCTCTCTCTCTTTCTCATATTTTCTTTTCTTTTGAGACTCTCCCGGTAGTCCACTTGGCCTTGAACTTGCTATGTAGTCCAGGCTGGACTTGAACGCACTGCAATCCTCCTGCCTCAGCCTCCTGATTGCTGGACTGACAGATGCATGCTACCACACTGGGTTTTCTCCATGAGTTTCTAATGTGAGACAATTAACAGTGGACAAATGACAAACTTGTCCTCCGAAGAGAGACCTTAGCCAGCAGTGCAGCTTTGCTCCTGGGCCCTGCTAGACATCTGTAGGCCCACTTGTACTCACCACAAAACAGTACTTCCCAATGCGGTTACATCCTGCCCCAGGGATGTTTTCCACTAGACATGTCACTTGGTCCTTGGGGGACCTGGGGTATAGGGGTCACGAGGCTGAGGCAAGGGCAGGTGGCTGAGCCCCTGATGTTGGGCCCTGTCCTGTACAGGTGCTTCAGTGGCTTGGGTGCTTGATTCCGAACCGTCCTGTCACCCCAGACTGGTGACCTGCATCTAACCCGGCAGCTGCCCTTTCCTCTGGCCCTGGCCTTGCTCTACCTTCCAGCTTGGTAGGGCACCACCTCTTGTCAGGGGACCGTGTCCCTGATGGAAACAGTAAGAATTCAACTCCAACCTAATAACTGCCCCACAGCGAGCACGGCTCAGGTCTGTAATTTGTCTGGCTCGCCTGGGCTGGCTGCCGTGATAGGAGCACTGATGCCTTTCTGCCGAGATTAATGATGTCCCAGCAGTGGCAGGCGGGAGGCCTGAGCCTTTTATTTTTTGTGCCATTAAATGATATCCAGAGACTTTCACTTGCGAGCTGAAAAGCCCTCGTTCCATCACATCCAATTACTCCTGGAGAATATTTGCTGAGTGGCGGATCCTGCTGGCTCTGGGGTGGAGCGGACACTTGGACACTGGTCGGAGTGACATGCTGGGAAGGCTGGGCAGTTGCAGGGTGTTGAGGGAGAAGAGAAGTTGGGGAGACTGGAGAGTGGGAGGGAGGCTCCTAATTGTCCAGCGAATGGATCATCCAGGCCTCCTTCCTCCTCATGTGGCTGAGGGTGGGGACAGGGAAGGGACCAAGAGGAGGAGGGGCTCTAAG